AGTAGAGTCAAATTTCACTCTCTATCATAATTTTAATTAATAAATTACAAGTTTCTATACATTTTATTTATTAATTCTCTCTCCTATTAACTCTCTTTATTGAAAAAAACGTATTCTCTCTCATAAAATTTAAAGAGTTCATTGGATTTGAATAAAAATTATGTTTATTATATTTAGAAATTAATGAATATGCTCTTTAAAATAAAAAACATCATTGGAGATGCTCTCAACATTCCCCGTAAAGAAGTACTAGTGAATTGCTTATATATGTTCATGTAAAATCATCAGGAGAGGATCTTGCTTTATGAGAAAAAATTGTTGAACTCTTAATCTAAAAGAGTTTGCAAGAATTCATATTGAAATTATCCTTTCTTCAATAATAATTAAGATAAATTATTAAGCACTAATGATGATGTTTGGATTAATTAACCCAATGGACCTTTGCTTTGAGTGACGACTTGCTGACTTTCATGGTTTACAGAGGAAAGCATCGCCAAACCTCAGAGGTTAGCATCGCACGAACAAACCTTCCTTTTCACTTTGAACGAGGTGCGCTAATTCACCGATTGTATTGCTTTTTAACGTCTTGCTTTTTCTGTTTTGAAAATGCTGATAGATTCGTTTTCATGTCTCTTTCCCATACATTACTTTCTGAGCTATCTATTTGTAATGAGCATGCAGTGCATTTATGATATTGGCTTTCAATTGTGCTCAGTAGCAGATCTATAAAATTTTGTTAAAGTGGGCTAAAAGGAGGCTAGATCTGCCCCTCATTGTGCCCTTATAAATTAAATACCCATCACTCCATCTCTTGGGCTTTATGTATATATGTGAACTTATACTAATACTTGAATATTCATTTAAATAAAGCATCTAAATTGTGATCAAACCTTCGCTTAATTAATTTAGTCAAAGTTTGTATAGAATTTGGTTACTTTTTGATTAGTTGAGCTCCCAGAAATAATTAATTCAGATGTGTCCACGATTTGAAAATAACTAAGAGATTAAGTATGAGATGGACTAGGTTTAGTTTAATAATAAGAGAAATAGAAGAAATATAATATAGAACAAAAACCATTGAATTCAATTTTTCTTTTCAGGTTTGATTATAGAATAATACTACACCCACAAATCTTCTTAAAAACTTTCTCTCATAACCCCGACGTGGCAGTTAACAATTGGTCAGCTCGTAATGGGTCGCATATAAGTCCTACCTAATAAATTATGGCTAACCAATTGCGAACTGCTATGTCAGAGTTGTGAAAGCAAACTTGTGAAAAGAGGTTGTTAGTGTAATATTATTTTTGATTAAATCACCACAAGATTGAGGTTTCTATTATAAGTTTAGGGTAATGTGGTATTGGCCCAATCCAAGTAGAATTAGGTTGGATATTCATATGGGGCAACCTGATTTGATTGAGACTCGCGTCCACTCAATCCATTAAGAGTAAACGACTTTTTCCCACCTAAGGTTTGCCTATAACCTTTTCCACCCAAAAAGTTTTAAAATATCACTTTTTCACCTAAAAAGTTTTAAAATATCACTTTTCCACCCAAAGTTAATATTCTGTTACTACCCAAGCTGATTTCTATCAATTCCGATAGCAAAAATTCTTTCCGTCACCACCATTTGAACCTCCGTTCTCATCTCTACAAAACCCCTCTCACTCTAGTACTTGATTTCTCGTCAATTGGCAGTCATTACAAATCTAGGGTTTCTTGTTCTTAGTTGATTTCCAACTGATTTCGATGACGAATATTTAATTGGTCATCACCATTCGATTTACCAGCATACACTCTAAAAAACTCCTCTTAACCTGGCTTATGGTAATTCGCCGAATGTTGGCTGAGAAAATGAAGTATATTTTGGGTATTAGCGAAATATAAACTTTGAGTGAAACAGTGGTATTTTGAAATTTTTTGGGTGAAAAGATGTCGTTTACTCAATCCATTACCCACTACTTCTCGTCATCCGTCTTGAATAATTATATACGATATAAAATGACGAGAGTATTTTAAAGAAAGTTATTGAACAAGGCTAACGTAACCCTGCTAGGAAATTTTGTTCCAGCTAATTAACTAAAATTTTAATGTACAATAGATGGGTTTTACATATGGAATTTATTCATTATTTTATTTAATAATAAATTATATGTTATAATTATACTCTTTTAAATTAATTGTTATAAGATTGGATCTACGTTGTGGCGAGTGGGGGCAAGTGATTCCACTCACCTCATGTAGCCGTGTGTATCTATTTCTTTGAATTTGTAGTAAAGTTTCTTCTTAATCCCACTGCCAATTAACTTCTCACCACCAATTAGTTTTCCTCGTGTAATTTTATCCACTTTTAAATACTTTAAAATGTATTATATAATAGTTTATTTTTATACACAACCAATATCTTTATATCATATTGATTTATTATTTATTAATACATTTATAAACATTTTAAATGGCCTATTACATTAGATAAATGATATATAACTTCTTTAAATAAATAGACAAACATAAAAAGAACTAAGAATACTTATATTGCGTAAACGACATCCACCCAAAGTTTAGCGAAATCCAAGATTGGTATCCCTGATTTCATAAATTCTAGATTACCACCCTTAAATGGACGTTGTTAGTGATAGATGGCATCTGACACAGAAGTAGAGGTGCTTTTACAAAACTGCCCTCATACTTTTTTTCTTCTTCATCTCCCCTCCTCTTTTTCACTGTCACTAGCACTTCCCCTTTGCGCGTTTTCCCCACATTACCCACTACACCGAGCCCTTCGACACTTCCATCAAATTCCCGACATCACCCACTACAAAACCCCTAACATTCTTCCCTGGTGCACCCTCAAATCACCGCCCAACGGCCATTGCTCATTTTCACATTTTCCCATATTTTAGGCCAGATTTTGGTCGATTTTGACACCGGAAACCACCACTAACACCACCACTTGAACGCTCATTCTCTCCTTAGCAAAATCCCTAACTTTCCTTACCTGGTGCACCCTCAAATTGCTGCTCGACGACCCTAGTTAGTAAATACGGGTACGGCAAAAAAAGGGTACGGGAATTTTACGAGTATAATACGGCAAATGGTAAAAAATACGTTTATAAAAATTCGGTCATAAAATTCGGATATGGGAAAAATACGGTACGGGTATATGCGGGTTTAATACGATGCATTGTCAATAATACGTTTTGAAAAATACGACAATATCAATCTTAGTTTTAACACTTTTATGGACTACCTGATTAAAATCAATATAGCATTTCAAATGCAAAGTATTCAATTAACCAATAACACAAATACACAATATATAACTGATATTCAAATTATAGTCTCCAGATTCAAACACAATATTTAGCAAAGATTCAACAATATTTTAATTAATATGAATATAAAATTCCAAAATATTTTAATTACACCTGAATTTTATATGTTTTAAATCAACACATATAAGATTCATTCACTATTAATAATATTTATAAGGGAAGAAAATAATATATTTGAAAGCAGAATCACTCTATATTCTAATTCATTCAAAATCTTTAGATATATTATTATTATTTTATTTTAATTAATATGAATATTTTTAATTTAAATTGGTTATAATTTTTAATTATTATATGGTAAATTATACCTCAGAATCACATCTCCGAAATAATATATACTATTTTTAATTTGATCAATACTTATTTATATAAATTAACCAAAAATAAATCATAATTTCAATGTCAAATAAATCAATATAAATAGTAATTTTTTTTTGAAAGATCATATACTTAAACTGAAACATTCAAAATTACCGTCATTGTACAAGGATTTGATGATGGCACATGCTCCAATGTAGAATACCGCGGTTGCTTTGGGATTTGGCTTATCTTTTTTAAATTAGATTTTGAGACTAAAACGATGTCGTTTTGGGGTGATCGGTCAAATTTTTTTTTTTTTTTTTTGCAGTAATTCACGAATTATACGGATATTCATATTATACGTGTATAATTCGGCAGTCCTTATAAAATATGTAAATATGCGTTTTATACGCGAATTTACTAACTAGGCCGACGACCACTGCCCTTTGCGCATTTTCCCCCTTTTCAAGCCAAATTGCAGTCGATTTTGACATCGAAAACCTCCATGACATCACCACTCAAACCCCCATCCTCTCCTCAACAAAACACTTACCCGCACCAGTTGTCCCCAGTTGCCATTTGTCTTTGCGAATTGCACACGACGCCGTGTGACAGTTTTATTTTGCGACCCACCCCTTTCCACTGTATAACGTCCTTCCTCCTTCACCTTTGGCTGTGTTGTTGTGTTCGGTTGTGATTGTTGTGTGTAAACTAGTCATCGGAAAACCCACAGCAACACAACCTCTCATATCCAGATCACACCCACCACCTATTCGAAGAAATGCCTCACTCAGCATCCTAGCCCAACACACAACACACTATGCGCGTTGTGATGATTTTCAGTGACAGGATCGACTGAAAAAGCTTGAGCCGCACCAAAACAAATGAAAGGCGGTGACTGGCGAACAACTGTGCAAATAACTACTTTACCCTTTGATCGTTACATTAAACGATTTGCTGTTAGTTTAAAGGTGAGAATCTGGGATTTATGAAACCAAAGGTTCCAACCTAGGATGTTGCTAAATCTTGGGTGGGAACATGTGTTTACTGTACTTATATCATATGACTATAAATTTATGCAACGGATATACTATATATGAATATATCTTTTAAAATTGTATTATATTAATTTTGGAAGTTTTTTTTCTATATTTTATTATAGAAAAGTAATTTCCTCAACTGAAGTCATTTTATTACTAAAAATAATTTAATCAAATAAAAATCGTAATTATTATTAATATTAGAAGGGTAATAATAAACTGAATAAATAAAAAATGCTGATTTGTTTGTGTACCTAATTTTTTTTGCAATATTAGATATTTATTTATGCTGTGATCAGCTAATAACTATTATTACCTATTCAATTCTTGTCCACATAACTTCTTCATTCCCATGGCTGGAGTTCTAAACATCTCTCAAGCTCCAATTTTCCGGTCACTTCCCGGTAGTCGGACAACACCCAGAACCTCAGTCTTCATTAGAGCCACTTCAGAGACCCCACTCAATTCCTCTTCTTCTTCTTCTTCTCAAACAAGCATCAAAGAACCAACACCATTTACTGCCCCGCCTAATTTCAAGCCACCTGAGCCAAAGCGGTTTGGAGTTAGACCCGACAAGGTTTTGGACATCGTGGGGGCCTCTCTTGCTCTATTATTTCGGTTGGCCACTGGTGCTTTTGTTTCTGGGTATGTTTATATCACTGAATGTTGTCGACTTTTGGTTCAAAATTTTTCAACTTTGAAGTAGAGCTGAAGGAAAATACTGAATTTTTTTTATTGAAAATAAAACATTTTTATTAATTGAATGATTTAAACGGATATTAGCTTGTGGCATTTCAAATTCAATCATACTTAGCTCTCTAAACTGAGACCAGAGAAGATATTTTTTTTTCAAAGAAATCTCATACTAATTACGCAGCTGATGTTTCATGGTAGATACGGAATCAAATAGTCCCTTATGCCAGGACTTTTGACTAATTTAAATTTTAGCTATTTTTGCTTTATTTATTTGTTTATGAATGGGGGTAATGAGCAGCTGGGTTTGTATTTTTATTGAAGTCTTGGTGCAGACTATGTTAATTTAGACCCTTATAACATTTTGGATATCAATGCAGGACAGGATGTAAATAGTATGAGACACAAGTAGAATTAGTATAAATTTTATTCACTTTCGTACGGAGTAGTGGAAAATATGTTCAGAATTTTCCTTTGGAGTTCTATCAATTGGTTACTTTCTGTTGAGTTTTCACTTTTCAGGGTGGAAGAAAGTTGCAATCGATATGGAACACACTGACTTTTGTGGTCCCTAAGATTTTAAGATTCTGAGCTAAGATAGATTAGGCTTAACCGTGCAGATTGTATGTCTACTTTGTGCTGAGCCTATTGCATCTTAATTGTTTCTATTATTAAGTGGTTTTTCTTGCCATCCTAATGGTCTATTCCATAGTTCCTTGTTGGGGCTTTTACCCAGTTTGATATGGTAAAAACCTTGAGGAAGATGGGAATGCAGTACTTTTGGAAAGGGATGGAATCAACTAGGATTTATTATGGTTTAAAACAGGACTCTAGCTTTATATAACTACAAGGAAGGGAATAAATGGAGCTTGCCAGTTTTATTTATGACTAGATCGCTAAAAGCCAAATAGAATTCAGAAGTACCTAATCTAGGAAGTTAGCCTCCAACTTGATATTGGGCAGATGACTTCGCAAAAGTGTGTACTGTTGAACATTTGACGTCATTTATCATATATTTTGAATGTTGTCTTGGACGCTTGCCAGCTTCTAAAATTGTATTGCATTGTTCTTCCTCTGCTGCAGGTACTCTGCATCTTTTGTTTCCAAGGATGAGATTCCGCCTGGCCAGTATGCTCTAGACATAGCAGGTAGTAGTCAGATTCCTTATATTGCTATATGATTCTTGAAAAGGTATTGTAGTGATCTTCTTGTAAGAGAGTATCTACCGTTAGTCCAATTAGTGTGCTATTTTGTAAAAGTACCAGATGTAGTACCAGATTCTTGCCATCTTGGTATCTAATTCTGCTTATGCTAGTATTTGGGAATTGTGTGTGATGGATTTGTACTTGTGGTTAAAAGGACTGTGAAAGTGTTTATTCCAGAAAAGAAAGTGGTAAAAATGAAGTTTATTCGATAATTGAGGGGTTATTTTACTCCTCAATTTGGCTTTTTGTAAAATGGGCACTGTATTCATGCCATATTCTTTGACATTCAAGCTGAGAACTGCTAATAAAAAGGCTATGCTTTTAACAGGTTTTAAACTCAAAGAGACCTCCAAGTTAGGCCCTCGTCCAGAGAAGCCTATTGAGATATACGAGTTTGAAAGGTACTATATTGTTCATGCTTTTTCCTTGTGCATATGCTGACTGATATAATTTTTAATGCTTTAATGTTCTCTATACTTTTCTTGAGTCATCCTATTTATGTTCTATATGCAATATTTTCTTTTTATCTATAAAAAAGAGATTGAATGAATATATCTTTCTCTCCACATATCATTCTCGTGGACCACGTGCGAACTTCAGCTGTCCATTTTGTCGAAAGGTAACATGACTCCTCTAGATGATTCATATTCAATAACTTGTAAAGCATGAATACTTGCATTTCAACACATGATACTGTGAAGAGGTATATAATGGACAGCATTCACTAGTTTCACACCATAAAAATGATGATGATGATGCCTCATTTGTTTAGGTGGTTTAAACTCAATGCAACCTGAAATCTGGTTGAGTTAAACGTCTCAGGTGTTAAAATGAGAAGATAAATTCAAGCATCCATGTTTTTCTATAATGAATATAATTTATAACGCTCTTACAGTTTTGGTATGCCTGAGTGGAGTTGTGCTGCTAAAATATTTGATTATACATGCGGAAGTGTCACAAAGTGTATGAACATAACTATAGCAGAACCCTGGTCCATTGTATATCTCTTTATCAATTGATTGTTCTTAATGGAAATTATATTTATGGCTTATCACAGCATATACTTGTCCTTATATGTAAGCAGGTTAGGGAAATTGTTGCAGTATTGGATCTTGATGTTTTGTATTATCCTTGTCCAAGAAATGGTCCAAATTTTCGTCCCAAGGTTGCTCAAATGGGTGGAAAACAGCTGTTCCCTTACATGGTTAGATTTCCTTTACTTTTGTTCCTGGACTCGTCCCTCGTTGATGAGCAAACCGGAGTTAATTTTCTTTGACAAAAAGATCAATTTATCAATATCTTCACATATATAGTGTTTATTCTTTTGTTATCCTTCTTTTGGATATTTGTCCTACGAAATTCCTGCTATACATTATTCAGAAAGCCAAAGAATGCAATACTAACTTCTACTTTTCTTAATATTCCATTAATGGCTGAATGTGCAATAGCACTCATCTCTTTGAACATTGTTAATCTTCAGCCATGCTAATTGTTTTTGCACAACTGGATGCTGATCATAGTAATTGAGAAATAAACTGACAATAACAAAGGAATTAAAGATTAAGTCTAGTTGTTTTGATTATCGATTTTGTAATGTGAAGAAGAGCGTAGAATAGTGAATGCTAATAGAGTTTCACTTAAGTGAAATTCCATGTCAGTACCCGGTTCTTTTGGGGCTAGGATACTTCTTTTGGGGCTAGGATACTTCTAAACTCCTATAAGGGGAACTTAATTTTCTTCACAATTTAATGTGGAACTTGGAATATGATGGACCACCAATAGTCAAGTGGTATAACCGTAAGGGGCAAATAAGGAAAAGTCATACAGGACAGCTGGAGCAGCAGCACAACAAGTGTGAATGAGTTTGTTTGACAGGTGGAACAACAACACAGCAAGCATGACGAAAAAAGGAATACAAGGAGAACCAACAGAGGGGATAGGCATCGAGAATATTGTTGGGAATTGTGGGGAGGAGCTGACCCTCGAAGATCAGCCTGAGTTCTTTTCTTTTACTGTTTTTAGCCATATTTTCCTTTACGTTTATTTCATTGTAATGAGCTACTGAATATCAATCCAAATATCCCTTTTAAGCGAGACAATCATTGCCTATATTCTGTTCTTGGTAGATTTTAGCCTAAAATGAATGATTGAATGCGTGAGTAACTGAGTTATTCAGGTTGGTTCCATCAGAATACCACACCTTGCTTTGCGAAATATGGAGTCTGCACAAGTGCTTATTAGATTTTCTAATATTTCAACTTAAGATATTAATAGTGAGTGATTTCAGATTCTAAGTCAACCTAAGCTTAAACTATTTGTTTCCTTTTGCAGGTTGATCCAAACACAGGAGTCTCGATGTATGAATCAGATGATATAATTAAGTATTTGGTTGGCAAATATGGTGTGTGGCTACGTGGACCTGCTTCCCTTTTTGCTTTGGTTTGCTGATTGTTTTCGCTAGTGGATCTCTTATTACTTTCTTTTTTTGTGAGAGGAGATGATATTGCATATTTACATTATAACATCAAGAGTCCAATTATATAATTCCCTTCCATTCCATTTCCTCCAAAAGAATTAATAGCGTGAGACTATTCTATTTGAGAAGATCCAGGAGTTGTTCTTGCTCTTTCCTAGTTAATATAAGTTTATTTCTTTATAACTTCCTTAGTGGATTATCACTAATTGTTGTGTTCTTTTAACGCTACTGTTAGTTATTTTTTCTTTAATGAGAGGCTTATATTGTATTTTAAGTAACTTCTATTTGATTTGTTGTGTTTGATTTCTATTATTTAGGTGATGGAAGTGTTCCTTTCATGCTCTCACTTGGTCTACTAACGGTTAGAATTTGCATCTAATTCTTAAGTGTATAATTCTTGCCATTCTGTAAAAAGAAATTTTTAAAACATATTTTTGTTGCTTTCTGATTGATTGTAGACTTTGACTGAAGGCTTTGCTATGATTGGTCGTATGGGAAAGGTAAATTGAACTTCTCTCAACAAAATGGTCCTTGATGCTTGGGTAGAGCTATGTGGTGTTCATGATTTTGTGATAGCTGTACTAGAATCTCTCATCAACTAAATAGTGTGCTAGATATGCTTTCATTTAATCATTTGGCATTTCTAGCTAATAGCTGAACATTTTGTTTTGGTTTATTCATCATCATATCCACACTTGTCCCTTTTTGGCCCTTTTCACGGATTCTACTGGGCCATTTTTTATATTCTAGACGTGCATTATCCTAAAATTGTCTTGCACAAAATCATCTTCATCCCGTGCTGCTAGAGAAGTACGTTATAAAATCCCAGATCAGCTAAATCTTGAATTTGATATGGGTTTCATTTCTCTGTTGGGCTCTTCCATCTTAATAAGCTAAGCTTTTTGGTTGTGAATTATTTTTATCTATGACTCTGAAGCTTAATATTACATCATCAAGATCAAGATCAAGATGTTACTAGAAAATAAACAAGAACCAGTGAGAACTACCCTGAATCATCTCTTTCACTTTGTGCAGGGTTCTTCTTACACTCCATCGAAATTGCCACCCAAACCACTTGAAATATGGGCATATGAGGTTAGCTGAGTGTTAAATAATCTCTGAGGCTGAAAGCACGAATAATAATGAATTTTTGACTTTCTAAATCTAAAATTTGACTCTTTGATGATCATAATCTTTGGCCTAGATGGCTAGCGCAGTGTACCTAGCATCTTTAAACTGAGTAATGGCTTTCAATGTTTTAATTTCCTTGTCAGCCTTCCCCATTCTGTAAAGTTGTACGTGAAGTGCTTGTAGAATTAGAGTTACCACACTTACTTCGCAGGTAAAGTGTTTATGTGGAATCTAGTTGGTAATGTGTATGAAAATGGATTGGCATATGTGTATATTCATTACTAATAACTTTCCTGTCTTTTTATTTTCTTAGTTGTGCTCGTGGCAGCCCAAAACGACAGGTTCTTTATGAGAAAGCTAAACATTTCCAGGTACTTAGTTTTTTCTGTTGATCTACAATGTGTTCTTATGTTTTTATATTTTAGTTTGAGCGGCTGCTTCAAATGTCCCAAATATGAGAAAGCCATATTTATTTACAACTTGTGACAGGTACCTTACTTAGAAGATCCAAATACAGGGGTGCAAATGTTTGAAAGTGCAGAAATTGTGGAGTATTTACGAGCAACTTATGCTTCATGATAGGCAATGCTTTTCAAGAGCTTCAGAGGTTTTCTTCTTAATTCTCGTGTAAATATTCTTTGCCTCTTATAATCTTTTTCTTTTTTGGTCATGTTAGCATCCTGTAGGAGATGTGTCAATGTCTCTATATTTTCATTTTTGATAAAATTAAGTGCCTTGGTATGGGGTGTACTGGACAAGTGGGTTGCATGTCATTATGAGATAGATATATGGGAGATTTACCATCTGCTGTTTCAGATGATATCAATGTTTCTGGGGGACACTTGGTTTTTCTTTTTCTCTTTTCCCACCTACAAACAAGAGGATTGCAGTTGCAGGAATTCAGTGGTGATCTAAATGTAACAAGTGGCTGTAATGGGCTAGATTAAGTGGTCTAGAATATAAACCACTATTGTATGTTATTTTTCCTTTACATTAATTTTTAAATTTTGTTAAAACAATGAGAAACTTGCACTCTTAAATCTTCTAATTGAGAGGAAACAAGAAGTAAAGAAAGTAATCTTGTTGACTCTGCGGAACTCTCGTGTATCAATGATATCTAATACTATTTTTTTGATTCTTCAGTATCCTAAATTTATTCAATGCTCAATTTATTTAATATCCTGAAATTCAGATTCACCAGTTTTCTTTCCTTTTTCTCGGAAGGCTGATGCAGAATAGGACATTTCCTATTCTTTATTTATTTCAGGAATTTATATGTTTGATAACTTGTTTTAGTTAGATTTAATTTTGCTAATCATGCTTTTCTATTGAGTAGGTTTTAGGTTACTTATAAGAAGTTGATTTCTGATAGGGTTTGGGATATGATCTGTTTATATGAGGAAACCTCCAAGAACAAGAGACAAAGAAATTAATTGACAAAATTCTTCGTTGATAAACACAATCTAGATTTAGGTTATTATATAGCCTTCTTGACTCCAAATGACTCCTGAAAGAACTCTAATTGCTTAATTAAAATCTAATAAGATATTCTATCATAATTATAAAAAAATAATAAGATAATCCTAATTCTATCATAATAAGATAATAGCATAACTATAAAAAATAATTATAAAAGACTTAACATAATTATCAAAGATAATAATAAAAAAACTTAACATAATTATCCTAATTCTAAAATAATCCTAACAATTTCTATTTCCTAAAGACTCACCACTATATAAATAGAGCTTTAATTTTCAGTTTTATTTAAGACTTCTTGATGACTGAATAATACAGGTCTTCTTTTTCCCAAATTATATCTATTTCTCTTCCTAATTCCTTTGGTTTTGTACACTTTCTATTTATTTATTTATTTTTTTCTAGATTATCTGCCTTTTCTCTCTCTATTTCCTTGTCTAATGCTATTTTTATCCCATCTATCCTCTAATAGTTTGGTATTAGAGCCAGACTCTGTTCTGTTTTTCCCTAAAACACAAAAAATCATCCTCCATACTAAGTAGTTAAACAAGTCACTTCTTAGTCATTTTTATGTGGCAAAAGTATCTTTAGGGTTTTGATGGTACCATAGACTTGAATGATCAAGTTCAGTGAGTACTCTCCCATGATTGATTTTAGGTGAAAAAGAATTTGATAGATTGCATCTTTTCTAGTAGTTGTAGTTTTTGGGGTTCAAAAAACTATAGCTTGCTCACCATAGTGATTCACAGGGAGGTGCACTTTGCCATAGCGAGACAGACTTTGTTTTCAGTCGCAACTGGGTTTGCATTTCTGCTCGGCTGTTTGTTTGTCAAGTAATAAAACATGATCCTGGCCTTGCTAAGCTATTTAGAGCTGTTGCTTTTGGAATTGATTAATTGGGTCTATCATGTCTTTAGAGATAAGTTTGGAATATTGTTCATTGTGCATAAGAATTTGCTAGAAGAACTTCTCAATTATGGCCTATGGTCCTCCCATCGTGGGGACTGGAGAATATCTAAGTTGACCTCTTTATCTATTTTGGAGAATCCCATTCTTTGATTTGAAGTTCAGAGCGAAAGGGTTGCCATCAGGCAGCTTCTGGTCTTTCCATTTTGTGTGGCAGGTCCACTACACTCAACTTTCACTAGGAGCTACTTTGATGTTAGGATAAGGTATCTGATCCACCACAAGGTATATTCCTTTTTTTTGTTTTTGTTTTTGTGCCCTTTCCTTTCCTCTGTCTAGTCATTTTTTGACACTATTAACTTTTATCATCATAAAGTTATAGAATTTGTTGTATTATCAATGTGGTAACATTACCTTATGGTAACAACCGTTGGATTGACCTTGTACTCGTACATTTTGATCAAAACGAGCCCAGGATTCTTACCGTCTGACCTAGGATCTATGAGAATGACATGGTATGACATATTTTACATATTCCTTGAATCAATTTGTTTCTTGATTTTGTAGTATAAGTATTTTTGAACTTCCCCATGCAATGCCATGAATCAATTTGTTTCTCAATGTTTATATTTCCCCATGCAATGCCAAGAGCATCTCTGATTTATGATAAATTATATGTCAAATAGGCTTCAGAGTTCAGAGTATTTCAAATGTTTTGCTATATCTTATTGTCATGTGCCACTTATTAAAATAATGGAATTCTTTAAGGTGGATGAACACAAAATATTAGTGTCACGGATCTGATCTCTGAATGGGCATCTGAAAAACCAGAGCCCCTTGGCGACTTGCTATTTTTGTCTATAACAATGGCTGTTTCAATCCAAACGAAAATTTGTCACTTTTCTTCTGCCTTAGGGCTTGAAATAAAATGATTTGAATTTTGTTTTGTGGGTCATTAATGGAATTTATAATATTTGACAAGATGCAAGTTGTGAATATAGGGTGCATTTGGTTACACAGACTGGACTGGACTGGACTGGACTGATTATATTGTACTGTAGTGTGAAGTGGATAATATTTGGAGGGTATTGAACTGTTGCCGCTTAAACTTGGAAGCTGCCAACAACCGTGTTTAACCGGAAATACAAGAAAAGATTCCGCTGATCTTTTCCGGTTAAACCCCATCATCGGCGGCTTCCCTATTTTCAAATGGTGCTGATGAAGATGACGTGGTTGGCCCTTTTTTTAGAGAAAATTTAGCTGCCCGGTCCCCCCAAGTATGTATTTAAGAAAATGGCCTTGAAACTGTTCATCAAATATTTTATAATTTAGAGAAGATGACGTGGCATAGTTAGGATTAATTAAACACGTAAAATGGGTTAAAATGAAAAGATTAAAACATATGTGGGCCGAATAGAAATAATGAAAGTTTTCAAAATTTGAAATATCGCAAAACAAGCCCCACAAACTATTCACGTCGCTTAATCGAAATTCATCAGTTGAAAACGCGATTTCTTGAACGAAAGGGAGACGTGATTTTTTCCGATCCAACACCAATTGATTTGCACCCTAAATCAATTTCTTGAACCCTAAACCGAATACAGTCGCGATTTTCGGCGATATAGTCGCGATTTTCGATCGATTTGTTGAACCCTAAAATCGATTTCTTCAACTATAAACGGAATCTGCGCGATTTCCGGCGATACAGCCCATATTTCCAATCCAAACTACAAATTTTCACACCAAATTCAATCCAAAACCATGGCTGACACTCACAATGACGACGACAACCCAACGCCACTTCGAATCCTAGATTCCGGTGGCAAGCATTTCAATGGCTGCTCCGGTGGATCATCTGACCATTGAAGGTGGTCCCACGTAGAGGAGACGCCGGCGGCACAAAACAAGGAAGAACCAGCAAAGGGGTCTGAAGACAGGAGTCAGGCGAGAATTCAGGCCAGAAGGAGGATTCCGGAGAGAATGCAGGCCAGGAGGTGGATTCCGCGATAATTCAGGGCAGGAGGAGTCGCCGGAGGATCCAGGCGACGAGGAGAAGGTCGGCGAAGATAGGGTACGTAATTTGGGAATGTTGCTTGTAATTTCGCTTAAGCGTCATTTGTATCGCTTAAGCGATCATTTGTATCGCTTGCGATTATTCTGTTTTACTCGTGATCGCAGCAATGATCGCTTAAGCGATAAAAATGATCGCTTAAGTGATCTGAGATCTGGGCAGATGATTCTGCCCAGACCAAAATCGCTTAAGATCATGAGTGTTTACTCTTGATCGCTTAAGCGATCTTAGGTCTGGGCAGAATCACAGATTAAGAGATTCTCAGTTAACTTTTGGTCGCTTAGCGATTTAAAATCGCTTAAGCGATCTTGCATGAGACAGTAAGATCTCTTAAGCGATCCGAGATCGCTTAGACGACTATAGTGGTTTTGGTTTATTTTGTGTTGATGACATTTTATTTATATCGATTGTGTAGATTGTGCGGACCATAAGCTGTAGAAGTACGATTTGGAGCCTATAAGTGAGAAGGTACCCTACTTCCTTGCAAGGTGACGTGAGGTCGAGCTGGAGGTTTTTGACAGAATAGGGCCATTTTAACTAGAATGAGCACGGTGAAAGAGATTTTGGTGACACTTGTTTCGGTCAGTTTTTAAGAACCGGAAAAAAGTGAAAAAGTCATTTGGGGGCAGGGATGCATTACATGTGATGCACTCAGTAAAATGCAAGAAAAAAAATGAAATGTGGTTCGTGTGGAGGAAAGCCACTACGGTTTGGTATGATGGAGTATGCGTTGGTGACGGGCTTAGGATGCGGGAAAGTGCCAACTAAGGCGGAGGCAGACGCAGTAGGAAGAGTGCGGGAGCCATAAACTTTTGTAAAAAGGTTTTGAAAGGGGCAAAGTCTATTACAGAAAATTTTTAGAGAAAGGCTATCTACAGTTCGGTTTAGTGTGCAGAGAAAAAAAGTGTGCTTGATATTGTTTTTACATTCTATCTTATTGGCTGTGACTCAACAAAAGCTATTGAGAAAGATTGGTTGCTGTTTGTAAGCGACTTGGAGTTCTTTAATTCTTATCCTGGGGACGGATACATTTGAGCGAACCATCAAGAGCCTGAAAAAACTAGACATGGCGTTAAAGCATGCCGAATGGGGCGGGAAGGCTAAACCAAGCACGTAAATTTGTTTGGCTTCCCATGGGCAATGCAGGTAAATATTAATAGCTCTATGTTATATTTTTTATAATATTTGTGTTTGAATAATGACATGGACTGTTTTTTTACAATGTAGGCTTGGATGTACGAGGCCATCCCTGTCTTCGCTAAGGCGGGGGGAGGAGCAACATTGTGAATGTGCAACAGCAATTTCCTAGGATGTTGCAGTGGCATGTCGAGAGCTGTAACCATTCGGATTATGGCCAATTAGAGATTGAGATTCATGCAGCTGGGGTAAGATTGAAGGATTAAGCTTTTGAATATGTAGTTGCTTTTTTATTTTGCTTCAATCTGATTGATTTTTATTTCTTATTGCAGGGAGTCGTCCTCCCTTTTTGACCCCTATTGGGGATGAAGCGGAGAGGACTATGTCACATCTTTCAGACAATGGAGAATGAAAGGGATGAACAGATAGACGGCCTGATGCGGGACCTAAAAGGGGTCACGCATGTGATGGCAGTTGCAGGCCATTGCTTGACAATGTCGTTGATGCTGAGGATAATGAAGCTCGGGGGCCGAGGATAGGAGAGAAGAGGGA